TTGGGCGTTGCTTAGATGAGTTTGCTTGCAATTTACGGGCTTGCTCCATTATTAGTGCTGAACTTAAGGGAGCTTCTGTTAGCCTTGAAAGAGCATGGCAACTTGGTTTCAGGAAGATCAAGCTCAACCTCGACTCCACTACTGCGATCGACATCGTGAAGAACTGGCAGGTAGGGATGGCAATGGATTGGGTCGGGTTTTGCCAAACCCAAATCCATGGTTATATCCGTAAAAAAAAATCCAGTGTAAAACCCAATGGGTTTGAGAAACTCAAACCCAACCCGCTGGGTATCCGCGGGCTTATGGATACCCATGGGTTCTGTGGTAAAAAAAAAATGCTCAATAACAACTTCTGGTAAAAAAGTATGATATCGATCTACCCATACAAATTATCTATACAAAAAATACTAATCTAGAACATACAAGCAAACCACAAAGTATCCATACAAATTGTTTGACATTAAAGATAAACATCCATAAACAAGATTAATTAAAAGCTTCTTACTCCTTGAGAACTTGAAATTGTCATCTTAGCTTCACTCTCCACTCCATAATATCAATTAATTTATCAACTTCGTTATACAAAATTAGAAAGACAAATTAGACGTGTTTTCACAATCATAAGAAAGATTAGTTGCTTAATGAAGATAACATCCGAAACTTGTAGGTTATGGCTTGGGAAAATTGGTTTATGGATGTGGGCGGGTATCCATGGGTTGGATATCCCTAAATCCGAACCCAACCCAACCAGTGAATAGTATAACGGGTTGAAACCTAAACTCGACCCAAAACCCGTCAACACGGATTTTACTCGCGTTGACCGGGTTGGATAGGGTAGTGTACCCTTCAGTTCAGATTTTGTTGCCATCTCTATTGGCAGGATACAGTGGCGGAGGGAGGTGGAAGGGAGGACCCCACTTGGATAAATTAAAATGGTTATATATATATATGGGTTATATATATATATATATGGCGAGTTCTACGGTACCCTGGGTGACATCCGGGGTACCGCATACCTTGAGTATGAAAACACTATCTAGACCTTGAATTGACCGATCTTTCGGATATGATACTATACTCTAACACTTAAAGATCAAAATCTATGTGTTAACTCTCCCAATCTTATACTCCAAGATCAATTTAATTAGAAACAATAATCGACGGTTATGATTCATCCAAATATAGGCACAAAAAGGAATGCACCATCTTAGGGTTTATAGATTATGATTTAGATAATTATGACCTATGGTTCACTCATTAAGGGTTAGGGTATAATATCAGACACAAAAATTCTGGTAATTCGAGGTCTAGATAGAGTTTACATACTCGAGGTATGCGGTACCCCGGATTTCACCCGGGGTACCATAGAAGCCACCATATATATATATATATATATATATATATATATATATATATATATATAGTTGTTTAATTTGGGTAGATTTAGAATTTAGGATCACATTCGTATGAAATTTAATTGTCCTAGTATTATAAAACACACAAATAAATTAGACTATATTGGTCATATTTCATTGAAATCCCCAATTTTATATTCATTATTCTAAAAATTTCTAATTCTACTAAATATGTGTACAAAAACCTTTAGCTATATCTAAAAAGCTCTCAGTTCAAATTTTTTTTCCTATTAATATACAATTTCTTTGTCATCAAATGTGTGTTTATAAAATGTTTGTGTGTATTAGATTTTGCTTGGAACTATTTATTTTAGCTAGTTATTGAAATGTCACTTTTCAATTATGAGTTACACAAAATGTAAGGTACAAATCTAATAACTAATGGTTTGATGAATGACTACTTGACTGAATATTTTTAAGAAAATTTACTTGATAATTGAATACAATGTTATAAGCTTTTTTGTAAATGGGACCCCACTAAACTCGAATCCTGCCTACGCCACTGGCAGGATAGCAACCACTCACATGGCCTGCTTGCGGAAAAAATTAGAAACCTCCTTGACCGTGATTGGGTTGTTATTCATGTGTATAGAGAAAAGAACTTTGTTGCTGATTTTTTGGCATCCAAGGGTCATACCCTTCCTTTTGTGTGATCCCAACCTTAAACATTGATTGTTGTATGATGGTATGAAAGCGACCATGACTCGTCCTATTTACTATATATAAATTTGAAGTAGAGTTACTGTTGCTTAAAAATTTGCTACTTTAGTCACTTTATACAATTTACATTTTGATACCCCAAATTTAATTTTAATGTAAAATCATTGAACAATTATGTTTGGTATAAAAATTTTATGAGATTTCCGTAACTACAATTTTTAAAATTTAAATTTGAAATAGAGTTAATGTTGCATAACAAATTACAACTTAGTCACTTTTTACATTTTACATTTTGATTCCCAAATTTAATTTTTAATGTAAAATTATTGAACAATTAGGTTTGGGATAAAAATTTTATGAGATTTCCTTACCTACAATTTTTAAAATTTAAAGTTGAAATAGAGTTAATGTTGCATAACAAATTACAACTTAGTCACTTTTTGCATTTTGATACCTCAAATTTAATTTTAATGTAAAATCATTGAACAATTATATTTTGGTATCTAAATTTTATGAGATTTTCGTACCTACAATTTTTAAAATTTACATATTGGTCAAATGTTTAGATTTCACTTACATATTGGTTCAATGTTTAGATTTCACTTGAATTCATGAATCCAATCCACCAATCCTTTTGAACCAATCCACGAATCCAATCCATCATAACATAAAAGTATACATTTAGTTTGTACCATACAAGATGTTGTATCACTCAACTGTACGAGATGATTCGACCATTTTATATTTGCTCATTACGTGAAACATTAAATAAAAGATAAAAGAGAGACAACTCTAAAATATTTCAAGAGCGAAGTAGAGTTACTGTTGCGTAAAAAATTGCTACTTTAGTCACTTTATATATTTCACATTTTGATACCCCAAATTTAATTTTAATGTAAAATCATTGAACAATTATGTTTTGGTATATAAATATTATGAGATTTCCGTACCTACAATTTAAAAAATTTAAAGTTTTTTTTGGAAAGATGATGTTCATTAATATGACTGGGCTAAGCCCACAAAAGGAGTGGTACAAGCGAACCAACCAAGCAAAGGGCTGGAAGAACCTCAACACAAAAGAGGCCAACAGAAAAACCCAAACACCCAATAGGGCCCCAGGCCCATGGCCAAAACAAAGGCTGAGCCCCCCAAACCCTAGCTGTCAGCGCCCTCTCTGTCAACCTCCACCACCGCGGCCGAGAACCCCCACAGCACCGACGCGCCACCAACCCATCGAAGAGCACATCGCGGCCAGGACCTCAACAAACCCAGAAGACGAGAGGAGGAGGAAAACACCTCCGACCAGCACACCCCGAGCCGACCACCGCCAGCAACCCACCGCCACGCCAAGGGAAACAGAACAATCGCACTGTCGGCAGAAGATACAGAGAGTTAGAATACCACTGTCTTCAATCTCTCCCAACCGGATCCACGCCAAGGGCTGCATCTCCGACTAGCCAAGTAGACGATGGAAGGCAAGTGAAAGGGCCAAGGGCTGCATCTCCGACTAGCCAAGTACCCCGTAAATGTACTAAATGAGTTTACAAATTCGCTCTTGCAATATTTTAGAGTTGTCTCTCTTTTATCATTTATTTAATATTTCACGTAATGAGCAAATATAAAATGGTCAAATCATCTCGTACAGTTGAGCGATACAACATCTTGTATGGTACAAACTAAATTTATACTTTTATGTTATGGTGGATTGGATTCATGGATTTTTTCAAAAGGATTGGTGGATTGGATTCATGAATTCAAGTGAAATCTAAATATTGGACCAATATGTAAGTGAAATCTAAACAATGGACCAATATGTAAATTTTAAAAATTGTAGGTATGGAAATCTCATAAAATTTACATACCAAAACATAATTGTTCAATGATTTTACATTAAAATTAAATTTGGGTATCAAAATGTAGAATATAAAAAGTGACTAAGTTGTAATTTGTTATGCAACATTAACGGTGAAAAGGGTTAACTGTTGTATTAACGACCAACCAAAAGAATTGATCAAAATCTTTCCATCGTCTACTTTCTCTTCGTTTCATTTTTCACTTGCCTTCCATAACCCTTTCTTTATTTTTTTATTTGTCGTCTTCGTTTAACCCTAATTAGTAAGTCATTACTTATTAGAAAGTCATCATTTTCTACTATGGGATTTGAAGGCGTGAAATTTTAAGCGAGTTCCAGTTTGTATTCCTTTTGCTTCGCTCTAGAGTTTTTCTTTTTCACCCGGGCTATAATTTTCAACAATTATACATGGAATGCTTGGTTAAGTATCTACACATATCAAATAAATAGTTTCCATTTTCCTATAGAAAAGTAAATAATTATCATCTTAAATACATCACCATAAAAGAAATTAAGTCTCAACTATGCAAATTATAGTTATGTACCTAAACTCAATAGATCTTTAGATTTATAACCTAAATTTATTTATTTGGCGTATAAATTCTCAAATATTGATGACACATTATATTTTAGTACTTAATATTTTGTGTATTACATTTTGGTATCTAAACTTTTGAAACTCTACAAATAGGTCTAATTTTTGTATGTATATTTAAATTATGGAAGTAAATATTTTTAATTATATTTTAACAAATTTCATACAAAATTAAGTATTAGAAAAGAGATAAAATCAACGAAAAATAAACCACAAGATAATTATTTTTTAATCCAACTACCTATAAACGGAATCGACGGGCTGAAGTTTAGACTCCTAACCGCAGCAAAGCGCGGCAACAATTTTAGTTGTTATTATAGCTGAAGTACTGTCGAAGTTGGTGTGAAACATAATTATATGATTATCCTGTCTAGTTAATATTATACACTAGGGGTCTCGCTAGTCTTTCTACCCAAAAATATACTGATGGCGATTAAAAAAAAATTGTTTGGTATGTTGCATTGCATATAAGTAAATTAACGGGCTAGGGTTAGACAAAGTGGCTAATATAGCTCCGATGGCGAAACTGTTTTCCTCTATGGAGAGGACGCGAGTTCGATTCCAGCCGTTCCAATTTTTGCCATTTTTCCCCCGCCGTCGATCGTCTCTTTCGTCTTCCGACTGAATTTTGGCTAGCCATGGATCACGACGACCCTCCGGCCAATCGCAGGAAGGTAAGCTACCGCCAACTCTGCCATCAAATTTCTCAATACCCACCGGAAAGAAACTCCTCGAGTTTATCAAGAAGGGGTTTCTTAGATCTGAAATTTCTTACTCTATCACTTCCATTTCCTCCGGCAGCTGAAGTTCGCCCCCAAGTCCGCTTCCCAGAGGAAGCCCCGCCTCGCCGCCCCCAAACCGTAATCCCCACTTCTTTTCTTCCTTCCCTCCTCACTACAGGTAATCTGAATTTCCAGTGTTCAAATGTCTGATTTTCCATTTTCCGATGTCCTTCTTTTCTTTTGCCGAAATGCAGCAAGACAAGCGACGATGGCAGCAACGAAGACGAAGCTGCGAAAGCTCAGAAGCTGATGACCAGATTCAACGTAAGCCGTCTACCAAATCCCAAGTCCTTTCTCAGTCTGTGAAATCTCATAATCTTTGGCTGTTAATTTCTGTTGACATTCGGTTGGACTTAAAACCGCGTTTGTTTCATCCTTAATCTTTACTAGAAGAGGCTGAATGGCTGATGCTACCAAATACCAATTCATTAGTAGGGATATTAGTAAACTACTCGTTTGCTGCCAAACACGGAATACGATGAATGAAAGCAAATTATAGTAAAGTTCCAATCTTTAGCCAAAAGATCATGATATTTGGTCCAAATTGCGACTACCAAGTAGAAGAACCAGTGAATCCCTACCCTGACTAGATCCACTCTCAAGTTATGGTTTTTACATTGTTGCAGGAGAATCTCAAAAGACAGGCTACTAGAGCTGACAAGAAAGGTAGTTAAAGTTCTCATCTTTTAGCTAAATGTTCCGACTTCTGCAGGAGATTTCTGTGGTCTAGTATGATCGTGTGTTGCTATTATATATGCAGCTGCTCCAGTTGAAGTGGCATTTGGTTCTGGAGCCTCACCGTCGCTATCGATTAGGAAATTTGGTTACCCTAAGGCGGAGGCTAGCCATGTCAAGGCATCAGCAGCGGGGTGGGATTCGGATCCTGATGCTATGCAAATCGATGGTAAGGATGAAGGAGCAGGTCACGGTGCTATTGATCTTAATCGGCAACGAACCAGGAAGAAATATAAAGAGCCATTTGTAAGAAGGAAAATTCAATGTTTCTTGTTCTGTGTTTTGGTCTCTTTTTATGAAAAATTCAGACCTTGCTGAAGTTGCTGCTAATGCAGGACTATGAGAGTTACTATCCTATTACCCTTCCCCTGAGGCAGCCTTTCTCTGGTGACCCTGGTATATATACATGTTTGATTATTATTTGTCAAAGAAGTTCCGGACTCGATCTGTTTCTGCTACAGCTTTAGTTAGTTTTGCTGCTACTGTGTTGCCAGATGTTCTGAACGAGGAAGAGTTTGGGAAGGATGCAATGAACGAGGAGTATGATGAGAACTTCATCAAACATGCTTCAGAACTTGGTTTGTTGGTAAGGCTGATATGAATGTGACTATCATTGCCGATCGAAGTAGTGTTTTTCGTCAGATTTGTGGATTCATATGCTGTGGAAATGATGATGACAGGAGAAATCTGATGAAGCAAAGATGCTTCTCTTCAAGTTCCCTCCCAAGATGCCCTACATTAACCGGTCAATTATCAGCGCAAAAGGGAAAGAAAAGGTTGGAAGCAGCAGCAGCTCGATCCAATCACAGTGCTCCAACTGTCTATCGCAGCTGCCTGAGGGATACATGGGCAAAATGGTGGTCTACAAGAGTGGAGCTGTCAAGTTGAAGATAGGAGACGTTCTGTATGATGTAAGTTGTTCTCTATTGCAATTTGCAGCCCTTTTCGTGCACTATATCCACTGTGTTCACGTTTGAGCTCACTGGTAATATATGCTGATGAACCCATTCTGCAGGTTGCCCAAGGGTCAGATTGCACATTCCATCAGCAAGTCATGGCTGTCAACACGGAGGCAAAACAGTGTAGTGAAGTTGGGGAGATTGAAAAACATGCTGTCGTGTCTTTCGACGTTGATTCTATTTTGGATTCTGTGATTAACTTAGATTAGATCGAGTTTGTCAGAGTTGTTTGTAAAGTCAGCAAAGTTTGGGCAGAGTATTATTGGTGATAACAAATGTAAGACAGCCCAACATTAGACTAGTGTGCCAGAAGAACACTAGCAAGCAGCCAAAACTGCTCAGAACACTTCGTTTTCCTTTGGATCTTCTGGGAATAGCAGGCCTGATGAGCTTCAGACACCACTTTCAGCTCTCAATAACAAGGTACCGACCATCCAGATTAGAGATTTTTTTCCAGAAATAACACTGTTTTAATTTTTTTTCCAAAAATAGCACCTGACCCCTAAATATTCCAAAAATAGCACCATTTCCCGAAAACTGCCACCCGACTAGTGGTTTACACGAAAACCGCAGGGTGAGAGCACGATTTTCAATGAAAACCGCACGGGTAAGGGCGGTTTTCATGACCGCATGCGGTCGGACCGGTTTGGGCCAAAATTGCTGCCCAACCCAGTGGTTTGGTCTTTTTTTTTTTTGAAAAATTTTAACCTAGGTGGAAACTTCATACGAACGTATCTCTTTTTTTGGGTATCCGATTGTAGCGAATTTTTTTTTATTTCGCATACTTTTTCGAGATCTTGCAAGCCGCAAACGCCCTAGGCGATTTGGTCCCCCCTTCGTCCCGAAAAAATGTCGTTTGCTATACTGAACGAGCTTTTTTCCAATTTCGTCAAACTTTGGATAACCATAACTTTGTGCTCCAAAATCTGAACGTCATGAATTTTTTTTTCCATTTCGCATAACTTATTAAGGACTGCAACTTTTATCATAGACATAACCTCGGAATGTACGTGGATTTGTGAAAAGGGAAGGTAAGTTATTCCCAAAACCCCGTATATCCAAAACTAATTCCTTTTTTTAAAATTCATTCCTAGTAAAAATTGTAGTCCTTAAAAAGTTATGCAAAATGAAAAAAAAATCAAGATGTTCGGTGATTCGGGTTTAATTGGACACTTTTTACCCCCCGCTTCCACTTGACGTTTGTGACATTTGACTCCTAAAAGGTTGTTTTTACGCTAGGTTTTGCGTGTTTCAGTGTGTTTCAGATCCTAACAGGTGAAACCATCCCCAGAGTCGAAAGTTGGAAGAAAGGGAGCGAAGACCCGGCAAAGAGGAGGAATCAGCTGCAAATCACGACCTGGCATTGGAGTTCACGGCGTCTAAGGCCGTGAAATGGAAACACAAACTGTGACCAGCGAGGTGTCCAGGAGGGTTCCAGAGGTTACTGACAACAAGGCAGTTCACGGTCTCTAAGACCGTGAACTTGGATTGCAAACCGTGAACCCTGGAGACTGAAGCGGTGCGTTTTGGAGACGACACTGAGTTCACAGACGCGTTTAGGTGTTCATGGCGGTGAACTGGAAGGCCGTGAACTGAGCTCGATCTGGGTTTAAGTGTGGAGCTGAAAGGAAGAAGAATGGAGAGAGATCTAGAGTGAGAAAACTTCTCCTTCTTCAGATTTTAGAGTGAGAAAGTGACGAACCAAAGAAGAGGAAAAGCTAGGGTTTGATCTCCAAGCAAGGATTTGAGTTTTCTTCAGCACAAGGAGCCAGACTTGCCTCTTCATGATGGTTTTCCTTCCGCTCTCTTGTGTTTTCCCTTCTCCTAGCATGGAGTAGTCCCTTATTTCACTTGGGTGTTTGTAAAGCCTAGCTAAAATAATGTGAATGCTTGTATGAATTGAATGATTTGTGTGTGGATGTGTTTTAATGTGAATGTGGAGGTATTACTAAGAAATGATTGTGTTGTGTGAAAGCCTATCAATCTAATTGCCATTATAACCTAGTTTAGAGAGAAACCCCCTTAACTTAAGAGGCTCTTCTAGAGATGGGTTTCTTGGGGATTCTATGCCTCCTAGTCTAGGTTAATTTGAGGGCCAACCTCCTAATTCATATTAAACACTTAGGGTTTTAATAAGGGTTAATATTTTTGTATGGCCTGAACTTTGACCAAAATAAACATCTTGGCCAATCTTTTCGATCTATAACATCCTGGCCCGAACTATACACCAAAATAAACAATTTGGCCAGATCCGACTTTTGACCGTTAACTTGGACGGTCAAACGCGTTGACCGTTAGTCAACGCGCCATGTCACTGCCAAGTCAGCATAAAATATTTAAAATAATTCACAATTTCCACACATTCCCTAATTTTAAATTATTATAAATTAAAAAAAATCATCTAATACCTTAGTTAAACCAAAAATAAAAACGAAAACAATTAAATATTTATCAGATCTTCTGACTTGGCAGTGACGTGGCGAGTTGACCGTTAGTCAATGCGTTTGACCGTCCAAGTTAACGGTCAAACATCGGGTTTGGCCAAATTGTTTATTTTGGTGTATAGTTCGGGCCAGGATGTTATAGATCGAAAAGATTGGCCAGGATGTTTATTTTAGTCAAAGTTGAGGCCATACAAAAATATTAACCCTTTTAATAATGGTCGAAATTAAATCATTAATTTTAATTTATTTAGTTATAAGACTATACTGTTACTAATATATCATAAATACCGTTGAAATTTTTGCTAGGAGGCACAACAAATACTCCACTACAGGGGTACGACCAATGTGCTCCCACGGAACCCAGTTATCTTGCCTTATCTCAAAAGGGCACGATTGGAGTCTATTAGGCATTTTGTAGGCATAAAAGTCGATCGCCAACTCATCACCGCATTGGTGGAGAGATGGAGAAAGGAGACACATTGTTTCAACTTTCGCGAAGGAGAGTGCACCATAACACTCAAGGACGTCGCCATCCTAACTTATCTGCCCATCGACGGTAAAGCGGTGTGTGTGAGTGATCATCCCCCCGAGGATCGTGACGGTATGACCGGTTGGCAGTATTTCATCCACAGTGTTTTGGGGGTGAAAGTACCAACCAAGGGGAGCATTGATGTGACGGATCGCTTGCCACCATTGAGGAAATGCCAAGTATTGATAGACCAATAATTACACCTGTTTTTACCCCTATTCTTGAGCCGTTTGAGAGGTTGATTCTCGTGTTTTAAGCCGATTTCATGCGAGGTTGTGCGTTTATGTCATATTTCAGGGCCCGGCGTTGGAATCGAGGCGAAGGAACGAAATTCGCGTCGAAAGGAGCAAGTGAGGTTTGAAGTGTGCTAGAGAGCTAAAATACCCGGCCATGAGCAGTAATACCCGGTCGGGTATTATCTGGCCATGACCGGGGATCAGATACTTTGGGCGTCCGTGAGAAACAGAAGAGGGCCCGGGCAGGAAGCTAAAATCCCCGGTCGGGGATTCTTAGGCCAGACCAGGGATTTTCCTCTGCTCCCAAAACGCGCGTTTCAATTATACCCGGTCGAGACCCAAAATACCCGACCGGGTATTTCGACCGGGTATCGCGACAGGCAACTTTTTAAAGGAAAAGAAGGCTAAAAATCAAGTGTTCCGAGTTTTAGAGAAACAGAGCGATTCCTAGAGAGAAAGCGACGAACAGAGTTCCCAAGTGCTATAGCTTGATCTTCATCACCATTGGAGCCCGGCTTGAGCTTGGAGAAGTGCCGATCGACGACCAGGAGCAGAAACTCATCCTTCACAGTATGATTTCCGCATCTGAATTTGCTTTTGCTTCTTTCTCCATGGAGTAGTTTTCTCATTCATCTGGGTATGGAGAACCCTAGATTTGTATGTTAGGTTTGATTGTATGAACCCAAGTACAGATTTTATGATTTGATTATATTCGATTGAGGCTTGAATGATTGAATGACTTGAATCATGATCAAATTCCTGTCGTTTCTGCTTTAACCTAGATAGAGAATATCTGCCTAGGTTGATAGAGCACCCTTAATTGAAGGTAGTGGATTGGCGACTTTAGTCGAGGAGCCAATTCACTATTCTGTACCGAATTTACTTCGGTAGTGGAGGTTTGGTTCATTAGGGCTTCAATCTGTTTACTCTGGTGGAGGTTAGTCGCCCTCTGGAGACTCAGATTGAGAGGGTCTGGAGACCTTTAGTCTAGACTTCAGACTGTTTAAGAACTTTCCGCAGTATAACTATCGTGAAAACTAAACTTGGTAAATTGCAATCCAGCTTAACTGCAGTCTAGGGGGAACCATATCCGTGTGACCTCTCTCGACTTGAAAAAAATTGTTTAACTTGCTTTGTTTGTTTGTTAATTTGGACTTGTACTAAAGTTTCACTGCTAGATAATAAGAATTCACTGAGTAGTCATCAAATCTAGGACCCGGGTTGACATTAAAACCCAAACCCGCTATACTACGCTTTAGGAAGTGGTTACACTTGGCCAATTTCTAGAGTGAGAGTAGGAGTGAGTCAAGTTTTTGGCGCCGTTGCCGGGGACGGCTAGGTTGTTGAAGAAAAGTGATTTCTGTTACTTTAGCATTTTCATTTTTGCATTGACTGTTTGTTCTTTCCCACTTGTGCCTTCACGGGTTTGCTGCTTGCCTGTGTGCAGATAGTGCATGACCCGTAGGAAGTCGGGAGGTCTACTGCCGTTGGATCCGGAGCTTGAACGCACTTGTCGCCAACTTAGGAGACAACAACGAGCTAGACTGGCTACGGAGGAGCGCATAGACGACCATTTGAGTAGCCAGTTCGAGGACGAGTATGAGATGGAAGGAGATCACAATCCACACCAGGGGAATCCTCACCAGGTTCCCCCGGTGAATCAGATCTTGGGGAACAACCCCATACCCCAGGCAGATGGGGTTCATCATCATCCACCACCGCCGGGTCCCACCTTGGAGTACTACTACACTCCACGGGTTGCTGATATCCGCCCTGTCATCCTCTACCCGCCTATTCCAGCGAACAACTTCGAGATCAAGCCATGCTGGATTCAACTCATTACATCCTCTGTCCAGTTTCATGGCTTGAAGGATGTGGAGGCAAGGGTGCACCTGTCCCGTTTCCTACAGCTAACGAACGGGTTCAAGCTGAACGATGTCCCTGATGATGCAATCCACCTTCACCTCTTCCCCCATTCTCTGACGGGGAATGCTAAGAGGTGGTTGGAGACCCAGCCCCCCTTGTCCATCACTTCTTGGGACGATCTGGATGATAAGTTCGTACACAGGTACTATCCGGCATCGAAGACTACAGAGATCCAGCGGGAGATCACTCACTTCCGCCAATAGCCAGATGAGTCACTTCGTGATGCATGGGAGCGGTACATGGGATTTTTCTGGCAGTGTTCCCATCATGGCTTTAGTGATGCATTCACAGTGGGGAACTTCTACAGTGCTCTCTCTCCGGAAAGCCAGCGGGTGATTGAGTCTCTATGCCCAGGAGGGGATATTCTGACTAAGACTCCACCTAAACTGAACCAGATGATCAGTACCTTGGCTGCCAGAGATCACTTCTGGGGACAGAGCAGCAGGGGCAGGAATTCCCGGGATCGTAGTGTGCACGCCATGGAGGCCAGGTACGGGCTCGAGCAGTAGGTGGCCGAGTTAGTGCAGACATTGAAGCAGCCCAACAGTCTTATTCTGGGCCGAGGTTTGGCTACACCTCCAATAGCTCAATGTCAGTGGTGTGAGAGCCCTAATCATCTGGTGGAGGACTGTCAGGATATGCGGGAGTCTTCTACTCCCCAAGAACAGGTGGACTTCATCGCCAATGCTCGGCGCCTTGACCCATACAACAATACATACAATGAGGGTTGGCGCCAGCATCCCAACTTTGCCTGGAACAGCAAAACCACTAAACCACCTGGTTTCCCAGCACCAACGGGTGGTTTTCAGCAGAGGCAGCCCTTCCAGGCAAGGCAGGAGCCACCACCACAGCAGCAGCCCTACCAGCCTAGGAAGGGGCAGCCATTCCAGCAGCCCCATCGTCAGTATGCCCAGCCTCCAGCAGCTGCAGCTCCAGATACTCAGATGACGGAGCTGAAAAATATTTTGCAGGCATTCATGACCACCAGCCAGGCGAATTTCACGAGGATGGATCAGAACATAGCCTCACTGGAGGTAGGCTAGAGAAACCAAGGTGCCATTCTGCAAGATCTACAGAATCAGATTGGGGGCATAGCTCGCCAAAACACTACCAGGGCACCGAGGATTCTGCCTGCCACCACTATTCTGAACACTCGTGATCCTCACCAGCAGCTGGATGCCATCACTACCAGGAGTGGCAAGACCATATCTGCTGTTCCTGCCCAGCCCAAGCGAGACGAGCCACTACCTGCTTCAACACTTCCAGCCGGTAATGCAGAAGTGGGGGAAGACAAAGAAGCACCTGCTCCCACGCCACAGCCAGTGGTTAAGGAGCATGTACCCCAGCTTCCTTTCCCCACTCGCCTACATAAAGACAAGCTGGAGACAGAGTTTTCCAAGTTCATGGCAATGTTGAAGCAGGTCAACATCAGCATGTCGTTCGTGGAGGCACTGTCGAAGATGCCCAAGTATGCCAAGTTCATGAAAGACCTCCTCACCAATAAGAAGAAACTTGGGGATCTTTCGACAGTGATGCTGAGCGAGGAGTGTTCTGCTATCCTGCAGAACAAGCTGCCCGAGAAGCGCAAAGACCCAGGGAGTTTCACTATCCCTCTTGTTATTGGCAGCATGCATGTAGGAAAGTCCATGGCGGACCTAGGCGCTAGCATAAATGTCATGCCCTACAAATTATTTGAAAAGTTAGACCTAGGTGAACCTAGAGCTACTAGGATGAGCATTCAGTTAGCTGATCGTTCCATTGTGCATCCTAGGGGTATCATTGAGGATCTGCTTGTTAATGTTGGTGCATTCACATATCCTGTTGACTTTGTTATTTTGGATATAAATGAGGATGTGGATGTGCCGTTGATTTTGGGTAGACCGTTTCTCGCCACCGCCAAGGCGCTTATTGATGTGCATAGTGGTAAATTGATCCTACGTGCTGGTGATGAACAGGCTACTTTTTCTGTGTCTGAGAATGGGAAACACTCTCATTTGCATGATGACATAGATTACTGTGATGTGCTTACTGAGTTTGAGACCGCACTCGCCATAACGAGTGCGGGTACTGACGATGCTCTTGAGCGCTGTATTTTGCTAGGTGAGTAGGCATCGCAGGAGCCGCAGCTGGCGGAGCAGTTGGCCGCGCTGGAGAGTGGCCCATTCCTGGAGGGCGACAGGCTGTTCAAACCGATCTCATCCTCAATCCGCATCACTACCTCCTTGGAGGAACCACCAGAGCTGGAGCTTAAGCCCTTCCCTCCTCATTTGGAGTATGCATTTTTCCGGGAGGGGAATAAGCTTCCAGTCATCATCAGCTCGACCCTCACACCCGAGGAGAAGGACAGACTGGTGGCCTTGCTGAAGCAGTATGAGCGAGCTCTAGCGTGGAAGATCACAGATATATAGGGGATCAGCCCCTCCTTTTGCTCCCACCGGATACTGCTGGAGGATGAGATGCGGCCAGTGAGACAGCCGCAGAGAAGATTGAAACCGAACTTGGAGGCGGTGGTTCGGGCAGAGATTGTGAAGCTGATGGACGTGGGGATCATCTTCGCCATTTCCGACAGCGAGTGGGTCAGTCCCACCCAGGTGGTACCCAAAAAGGGTGGGATGACCGTGGTGCCTAACGAGAAGAATGAGCTCATCCCGATGCGCACGGTGACTGGGTACCGTGTTTGCATTGATTATCGGCGTCTCAACGACACCACTCGGAAGGACCACTTCCCGCTGCCGTTCATTGACCAGATGCTGGAGAGATTGGCGGGGCACGAGTTCTACTGTATCCTGGATGGGATGTCCGGGTACTTCCAGATCCCTATTGCACCGGAGGACTAGGCGAAGACCACTTTCATCTGTCCCTTCGACACATTTGCCTACCGGAGGATCCCATTCGGGCTATGCAATGCCCCGACCACTTTTCAGCGATGCATGCTCGTCATCTTTGACCGTCTGGTCGACGAGATTATGGAGGTGTTTATGGAGACTCATTCTCTCACTGTGTCCATAACCTGGACCTTGTCCTTAAACGGTGTG